CTAAAATGCTAATTTATATGCATAGTTACGCATGTAATATACGTAAAATCTGTACATTTTGCACTTGTCATTGATAGTGCTGGCTGTGCAGCAGCCAAGGTGAACATGTCTTAGTTGCAAAGAGGGCAAATGCAGATAACGAGGCAAAAAATAAAAAGACATATATTTACATAGCCTATGAAATCACACATGAATTATTAAAATCATAATTACATGGGAGGTCATACCGTTATGGTCTGCATATCCCCATGCGTTAGACATTATGACAGCTGCGCAGCAAGAATCTTCAAGTGTCCTGAAGCAGTATCAGTGTCCTCTGACAGATGAGCTGGAGGTTTATATAGCGGCTCCCTGGACGCTGTTTGCCCACATGATACGTATATTAAGTGTGATCAGCAGCAGGAGGAGCTACAGAGAGATCGATAATGCGCGCTCTCCTTCTCTCTCGGAATGCGGGATCTCATCGGTGGGAATCTTCTGCTTTGATCTACTGCTATATGTGATTATACGTATACGTTCTGTGATTGCGTAATCAGATGCTTGTGGCGCGCTGGTTCTAATGACAACGAGTGCTGTAATGATGCATCACTCTAGCAGAGCGAATGAATGGTGGTTTTGCGCAACACTCCGCTACTTTAGCTGGTATTCGACGCTTTACAAAGAAAGATCTCATGACTGAAGACAGATATATGGAAATGTGTTTTTTTTAAACGGGCTGCCTTACTCAAATGATGAATGTAGTACTGGCAACATATTGCATTTAGGCTATGTACGTGTGTCTATCACAAACACCCACAGACACACTAATAATAGCCAGTGTATTTTGTGTAAAGTTATTATTAGCATATTATAATTGTGATTACTATTCATTATAGGCTCAAGAATAAAAAATATGCTATAAAATATGAACTAAGATTTGTAGATATACAGTGAAGAATACAGTGAAAATAGCTTGTAATTTCTGTAAATATTGAAAATAATGCTATTTTAGTCGTGTATTATTTTAGTATTTTAATTAGCGTGAATATTATTTGTAGCCTAAATGCATATGCATATATAAAGTTACGAATGTTCTGAATTTGTAAAGCTCTTTATCAATTTACTTGAATCTGAACTTGCTATATAAAGGGATTTGATTGCCATCTGGTGGTCGAGAGTCGAAGCTACTATCAACCACGAAATTTCTAATATATGAACAAATGAGTAAATGCCTGTTTTATAAAGAAGGGCCAAATGTAGCCTGCATATTTGTCTCGTAAGTATATGTGTAGACCAAATATGAAT